GTTTGACTGCTGGATTTTCCTGTACAGATAAGAACATCCAGGAGGTGAAGTCTTATTATAACAGCATACTGCCCAGCAGCACCACGGATCCTCTACCTATCCTTTTTATTTCAGTGCCCTTAAGCAGAAGTCTGTAGTTGATGGTCCTGGCATGGTTTGTAGCCTGAACTGAACAGGGTATGTGATGCTCAAGCCCTTCCTAATCATGGTGCATATGCATTCACAAACCAGGCTCACAATGACCCTAGAATTATATGAATAATTTGTAAGAACACAAGTAGAACCTGCTGGATCAGACCAGTGTGGTCCATCTAGCCCAGCATACAAAGTAGCCAACCAGTTGCCCTTAGGGTTACCATTCCCCTGGCCAGTGGGAGGAATTCCCCCCCCCCAAGACGTCATGCGTGATGCACTGATGACACCCAGAAGTGACGCGGGCGCATCAGTGACACTGGGGTGTGTGCTCTGGTTTTTGGGCAAAACTCTATGGTTTGAGGGCATCGCCTCTGACGTCATCAGTGTGCCTATGTCACTTTCGGGTGATGTATGCATGTTGCCAAACATCCCCTCCCACCCCCCTGCCAGCAACCCTAGAAGGCCAAACCAACAAAGTACAGAGGCTGAGGCTTTCTCCTGATGCTGCCTCTTCGCACTGGTATTCGGAGTAGAGATGTAAAATTTCCGGAATTTTTTTTCCCGGGAAAAAACCGGAAATTTTTGGAAAAATTGAAAAAAATGCTACATTAGCATTTCTTTTGTCTTTTCCAGATTGAAAGTCATTCTGTTACTTTAGGAACATAAAATATGACTATGGACATTTTTATTTGGCATGAAATTATCACAACTAGCATATTAAAAATATAGTGTATCCAAACAATTATTACAAACAGAATATCCACCCAGATGCAAAAACAAAACTGAAACCTTTTTCTTTTCTTGTGACAATAGCACCTCCTAAAGGAAGAAATGCATCTTGTTCTTGCATTGGAGAGTTCAGTTTGTAACCTAGGTCTTGCTTGTCCTCAGTGCACAGAAATTAGATCAATCTGATACTATATATATATATTTTAGAAATGATTTGGAAAATATTTGAACACCTTGTCTTAAAATATTTTATTCATCATGTTAAAATAAAACGTTCCATAATCATTTTTTCCCCTTTTCTTTTTTCAATTTTTCGGGAAAAAAAAAAAGGCTTCAGGAAAAAAACGAGGGGGAAAGGTTTTTTTCTAGGCCTTCACATCTCTAATTCAGAGGTTTGCTACCTCCATCTATGGAGGTTTCCTTTAATAAAGCATGGCTAGTAGCCACTAATGGACCTCTTCATGAACCTGACTAACCCACTCTTAAAGCCACTGTATGCACCCTACAGGAACAGAGCCAGGGGTGTGCCTTATGGGAACCAAGTGGGATGGGCTAAAATTAGATTTCTTTAAGGTCCTATCGATTTTGAACTACTGAACCAGCTATTTGATCAATTTGTAAAATAAATACAGGAACTACAGAAACTGGGAGGTACTCATAACTAGGCTAGTCATTGCTGTGTATTGCACGTAACCTGGAATAAAGGAGGGCAGATCCATTTGAGTAGATGTCTGGCAGAAAATCAAAATGCTGGGATTTGTTCACAGCCATGTTAGCAATTACTACACATTTGAAAACCAAGCCATTCAGATATTGAATTATCTTGGTACAAATTCTGTTCGGGCCCTTAACAAACAAGAATAGGAAGTATTATTTGTGGTATGGATGAGGTATAAAAAATATTTTTGTGATGTAAGACCATTGTGGATTGTACCAGTGGAAGTGTTAACATCTTACTCAAGACATAGAGACAAAGACTGGTTGCCACATAAAGATCTAATTAAAAAAGTGGGAACAGAATGGGTAATGAAAAAGCAGAATGAAATTGAATATGAATATGAATGGTTGAAATATATGCAGATTTTTGATCTTTTTAAATCAGATAAAAGGAAATATGGTTTTAGAGAGGAAAAAAATGAGATGGAAAAGGTTTGGGAGAGTGGAGGGGGAAAAGATATCTCTAAAATGTATAAAGTGTTGTTGAAATGGTATACTGAAGATGAGACTGTGAAAGGGCAAATGATAAAATGGGCGATAAATATGAATAAGGAAGTGTCTATTGAAACCTGGGAATATTTGTGGAAAAATTCTATTAAGATATCGCCTTGTACCAATGTTAGAGAGAATTGTTATAAAATGATGTATAGGTGGTACATGACTCCGAAAAAAATTGCAAATATGAACCAGAATATGTCAAACAAGTGTTGGAAATGTAAGAGCCATGAAGGCTCATTTTATCACATGTGGTGGACTTGTGAGAAAGCTGTTGACTTTTGGACAAAAGTCCACAAAGAAATGCAAAAAATACTGAAATGCTCTTTCAAAAAGGCGCCGGAAATTCTGCTTTTGGGACTGAAAATGGAAGAAGTCAATACAACTAAAAAGACTTTATTCTGGTACTTAATCACAACAGCGAGAATGATTTATGCACAATTTTGGAAAACAGAGAAAGTGCCAGAAATTGAAGACTGGATACAAAAAGTTCTGTTCATGGCAGAGATGGACAAAATTACGAAGAAGTTGAATAATAAAGAAGACGACGTGTTTTTTCAAGAATGGAGTGACTTTAAAATATATCTGGAAAAGAACTGGGATGTGAAACAAAACTTAATATGTTTAGATCAATATTAAGTCAAATGATGTTATCTTTAGACTGTAACGATAAGAAATTGATATAGTTGATGATATGAAGTAATTTGGAGCAGGGGTGGAAGCATTGCGGGAAGCCACTGGAGGGAGGGGAGGAATTGGGAATGGGGTAGACAATTGATAGAATGAAATGATTTAATTTTACATGTTGTATTCCTGAGAAAATAAAATTTGTTTACCAAAAAAAAAAAGAATAGGAAGTACCTGTGTACACCTAGTATACAAAACCTAGTATTCACAGCAGGAGAACTGGCAAAGGGCAATCTGCACATTTCCAGAGGGGTTTTATTTTTATTATTCTGTTGTCACCATGCTTGCTTGTTCTGTGAAATAGAGCTGAACTGTTGAAAGCAGTGGAGGATCTTGATGGGATCTCCCTTATAAATAAAAGCCGAATGGTGGTGGCACTTCTCTAGAACATTCCACACGCTCCAAAATCAGTTCACTCTCTGATCTGTCATTCAGAGGGTCTCCCTATCCTCTGGCTGCTTTGCCTGAATCCTGCCTCCAACATTCTAAACATTTTGCTGTTCCTCTCCCCCCCATAGCCAGTCAGAACACACAGGTTATTTGCATATGCAGCCTCATTGGCCTCTGCCTCGGAACACAGAGGTCATTTGCATATGCGACTTGATTGGCTTTTGCTTCTAACATTCTAAACAGTTTTGCTGTTCTGAGGTAAAATGTGTCCAATCTCCAGGTGAGGGCTGGAGATCACTCAGAATTACAACTGCTTTCCAGATGGCAGAGATCAGTTCCCCTGGAGAAAATGGTGGGCTCTGTATCCTTATATGCTGCTGAGGGGGCCCCCGTATGACAGCCAATGTGTGTGGGGGGTGGAAAGCTGAAGAGTGAGGGGGAAATAAAAGTAGGTTGATGATTGGCTGGGAAGGATATAGGGTTGCCAACTCCAGGTGGGAAATTCCAGGAGATGTGAGGGATGGAGCCTGAAGAGGGTAAGGTTTCAGGAGGCGTGGGACCTCGGACAGCTACAAAGCCATAGACTCCACCCTCCAAACCAACTATTCCCTTCTGGGGAACCATCGTTGCCAATCTCCAGGTGAGGGCTGGAGATCACTCAAAATTACAACTGTTCTTTAGGTAGCAGAGATCAGTTCCTCTGGAGAAAATGGTGGACTCAGTGACATTATACCCTGCTGAGGGTACCACAGCAAATTGACACTGAGTGTCCAAGGCTGGGGCACCCACCCAGAGCCTCTTTCTAGAGGCCGTTGTACTTATTTCCACAACGGGCCTTTTTCCTAGTATATATATAAAGTACAGGGACGATTTATTGCTGATGAATTAAACAATGCTTATTTCAGACTGCAGGGCAATAAAATAGGAGGCGAAGCATAAGGACGAGGATTAATGTAATGCTGAATAATGTTTTGATCATGCAGAACAGCATGATTAAAACATCTACATGGTCTGAATTACTGCACCGGCCTTTGCTGCCAGACCGTGATACAGACAAGAAGTAACGTTTCCAGTGCACTCCCCTCAATGCTACACCTACATATTTCAATTGGCTATGCTACGTTTTGACTAGATGGTTACAACAATCACAGCCCAGCCAAATAAAAAATCCCATCAGATCCTCCACTGCTTTCAACAGTTCAGCTCTATTTCACAGAACAAGCCTATTTATTGCCTTCATATTAGGAGGGAGACATGGCAGACTTTCTTCCCCTCCTCCCATCAGCACCGCCCCCTCCCCATCATTCTCAACTCCCTACCTAAAATACAATAAATATTGAACTGGAAGCTCTTACTTTATTCACTTCATTCACACCATACCTTTCTCCCCAATAGGGACACAACATGGTTTACAGTGTTCTCCTCTCCTCCACTGTATCCTCACAACAACCCTGGGAGGTACGTGAGGTTGAGAGCATGCTATTGGCCAAGGTTACCTAGTGAGCTTCTACGGCACAGCGATGATCTGAACCAGGGTCTCTCAGATCCTAGTCCAGCGCTCTAACACCACCACACCACAAGGGCAACACCAGGTCATGACAGAAAGCCTCTAAGTTTGTAGTTGTGCAATCCTCCAATTATTATTTTTTTGTTAACAGTTGAAGTAGTATGTAATATTTAGAAAGCCACATGTACCAGGATGTGGCAATCGTCAGGGATGCCTGGACATCATGTGGCCAGCCATTGTGTGTACAAGCTTTACACAATATTGACACATCCTGCCATTCCTGTCACGGGCTATTTATCACCCAGGGTGAACAGAACAGCCAAGCCAGATGGTGACTTACCTGCTCACTGTAGAGAACCTGGACATTTTTGATGATGCG